TTTCCCTCAATTTTTTCTCCCCATCATCTTGTTTCATTAATTTCATGTCCTTGTAGTTCAAGGATGCTCCCGCTCGAACCTGTTGGCTAGCTCTTAAAGGTGCCGTTCGCTCAACAGCATTTTTGTCTGCTTTTGTTGGAATATTTCAGGTACCATCGTATTTATGCTTATTCTTTTCTTCCGTTAAAATGTACATAACCTTTTTCTCAAGTTTGCTGCGGTGATGCTAGGGAGCCATATGCTTACATAGAAAAGTTGCACCAAAAGACCACAAGCTCGTATATTGGATTGCAGGTGGAATATCTGCACTTTCAGTATTAATAGAGAAAAAGGCTAGACGTAGTGAACTTGCTTTATATGTACTTCCACGCGCCGGAGATTCTTTATGGTATATCTTAGTGAACCGCCACTTGTTACCGGATATCAAGAATGCTGAGGTATTTCCTATTATTTTCCTTTTTCAGTAAATCCAGGTCCTGCTTTAGGTACTCCTTATCTTGTAGTTGATCTTTGATATGGTTATGCAACTTAGAATTCTTAAACGGAAGTAATATTTATGTACTCCATATTTGAGTGAGAATGGTGGTTTTTACATTCACTATCTAAAACCAAAGCTTTGAACCTTACAGGTGTTCCTGTTTTGTATGTGTATGGGAGGAATCATGTATTACTTGGAACATGAGCCTGACACAATGGCTCCGTTCCTAAGGGGTCTGATTCGCCGCTTCCTTGCAAGCAGAATGAGCAATCCTAGCCCTCCACCAAACCGGAACGCTTCCTACACTTACTTAACTCTTGATGTCATGAACAAACCAAAACTGCAAGAGGGCCAAGATGCTAAAGCTTCGCCTTCTGCCAAATACAATCTTGAATCCATACCGGGACTGTAAGTCATATCTGGGGTAAGGTCACCAGAGATGCACAGACCGAACCCCATAACTTTTAGAAAATTTTTCTTACAGTTTCGGGGGAGATTTATTATTCACTGAAATTCAATGATTTTTAGCTTCTACTCATTCTTTTCCGGCACCATTCTTGTATAAAAATCAAAGTCCAGCATCTAATGTACTGTAACTCTATCTTCTTTTGAAGAAATGAATGACTCAGTTGTCTGAGATGTTTTTTCTTGTCTTGCTCTTGGTGGTCTTAGTTTACTCAAAAGAGTTCATTCAATGGCCAAAACAGAGTTACATTAGAACCCTTGTAAGTTCGTACATTACAACTTAGATTAATTTTTGGTCATATTTTGTTAGGAACCTGATAGTTAGCAATTGTTTTTTAATAGTCTTTTAGTAGTATAAATAAGGATCTAGTGGCTAATGAGGGGGAGGAGGAGATTTGTAGAGTGTGTCTAATGCTGTGTACTATTTTGGAGGTCGGGGGTCCTCGAAACCGCCCATCTATCTTGTAATTTTTCATTTTTAGTGTTGTTAATGAAGCTCAGATTTTTGGGTTCCTAACAATGGTATCAGAGCATCGATTCTTGGCCGACATGTTGCATCGACAAGGCTGGTGGAGACTAGATCTCATTCTTGGATTATTCGTGTGGAACGAAGCTTTTCAGAGTTTCGTATGACATATCAAGAGAAATTATAGGCTGTGGCTGTCCACTTTGAGGCTGAAGCTCTGACCTGGTTTCAATCGGAAGATCGACGATGGCCGTTTTGGAGTTGGTCGGAGTTCAAGACTCACTTGTTGCAGCGATTCCGTCCCGTACAGAAGATCTCTGTACTTGCGAAGACTGTTGAGGCAATCCATGGCAAGTTGGATCGTTTGGACCAGTTGATGCACCGCCAGGAAGAGCTTGTGGAGGGCGAACGGACGACGTAGGCGCTGGGATCTAGTTGGGCTGAGTGGCGACCAGATTTGGAAATTCCAAGACAGCGACCAACGCTCGAGAGAGTGCGACGAGATCTAGGATCGCGCGAGGCCGACGAAGACTTGAGCGGTTCTTCGCGATCTGGTGCCAGATCGGCCAGATTTGAGGTGAACGGCGGTGGATTTGCGACGAAATCTGAGAACGCCGTCGCGATTGGCTCTGATATTTCAAGATCCAGTAAGATTGAGGCTAGATCTGGGAGTTTTGGTGCGAGTTCCAGCACGGCGGAGGTTGGGCTCGGCGATTTGGCTGCGGTTTGGACCGGGCCTCGCAATTCCGGCGTGAAAGGGGCTGGTTCCGGTGCTACGGAGGCAGATTCTGGCGGAATTGGAGTGGGACCCATGAATTCCGACGCCCTTAAGGTTGGGTTTTGTGATTTTGATGCCATTGGGGATAGCTCTGGCGAGATGATGGCCAGGACGTGGAATTCCGATGCGAAATCCGGCGATTTTGGGGCTGAATCCCGAAATTCTGTTCGGAAGTGGGTTGGGTCTAGTGTTTTCGGTATGGGCAGAGTCAATTTTGGGGTTGGGCCTCGTAATTACAACGTTAATTGGCCTAATTCTGGTGCAATGGTGCTTGGGCCTCAAAATTCCAGCACATTTAGGACTGGGTATAGTAAGTCTGTCGCTGGGTATGACGAAATTGGTGACAGAGAGGCTGAAAGGATGAAGACCTAGTTAGCTGAGAAAGAAACTTCTTTGTTAATGATGGATTTGTCAAAAGCTTTTATGGTCATTGATAAGCTTGATCAGGGGGCTCCAGCTGAATTGGTGGACTTTGTGGTTGCTTTCCAAGATACACAGAAGATGGAGAAGAAAGTAATTGATTGGCTCCAATTTGAAGACGTGACTTACAAGGACAACATCAATTTAGGACTCAAATCAAGGAACTAACAAAGCCTTTTGTTCTTAATCATTTATATGTTATTTTTCAATTTTATTTATTGATTTTCACCTTGAGGACAAGGTGATTCTTTGGGGCGGGGGTAATGTTAGGAACTTGATAGTTAACAGTTATTTTTTAATAGTCGTTTAGTAATATACATAAGGGTCTAGTGGCTAATGAGAGGGAGGAGGAGATTTGTAGAGAGTGTCTAGTGCTGTGCACTATTTTGAAGGTCGGAGGTCCTCGAAACCGCCCATCTATCTTGTAATTTTTCATTTTTAGTATTGTTATTGAAGCTCAAATTTTTAGGTTCCTAACATATTTTGATTTTTATTCTCTTTTGAATAAGGATTTGGTTATATTTGATTAGTATCTTTAATGAATGAGAATTTTTACAGTAGAGTATTAATACGCCTTTGGTAAAGTTCGGTTGTGAACCGTCATATTTGTCCCAAGTTTTGTTAGACGTGCTTTTGTTTATTTTGATATAGTTTTGATCAGATTTATTGTTAAAAAACATGCACCATTGGTAGATTATCATTACCATAGAAAAAACTGATAAACAGTTGCTCATACATTAAAAAAAAACATGCAATTCTATGAAAGAGATGTTGGGATAACTATAACTGATCAATGATTCAAAACTCGAGGGCATTAGGGAAGACTTCTGATCATGCAGTCCTCAAATCTTGATCGAACACAACGGCCAAAAAATAGCTTAAACCTTTCCGTTGGCATAAAAAATCTTTCTTCTCTCAATTCCTTTCCACAAATATAATTCGCCCACTCTTTGCAATGCTTGTATATTTTTCCTTCTCAAAATGAAGATGGAGGAACATTGGCATGCCCCAGAGATAAGAAAAGTGCAACTTCTGATAAAATCAATATCACCATAACGTTTCCCTTGAAATTATTGTCCATGGCTCACCTTTTATGTTTTATTTGTTCAACCAATTAATATTTGTGCCCAGCTGCAATTTATAACCCAAGCTTCCTTATAATGAATGCATTGAGTAATTCATAGAAAAAAGAAAGCGACTATTTTATTTAAATAAACAGTCTGCTGAATTAAGTACGCTACATTGTCCAATTTATTAGTTACTTTTTCTTTTCATTTGGGGAAGGAGCATTAATTTAATCTAGACTGAATTTGTGCTATTACCAAGAGCCGTCATAAAAATACCAATTATATAGTAAGTCAATTGAAATAGTTTATTTTAAATACAATTTAAAACTAAAGTTTGTAATTAGTTAGAACTTCTAATTACAGCACATTTTCCCCCCTTTGAACTTGGGCTAGGGAATTCATACAATTGAGGCCTCAAGAGCGCGGATTTAGTAGCTTGGCTAAAGCTGCTATTACACATATAACACTATCAAGCCTTGTGTGTTTGGAATAATTACAAGATATAGTGGAGTGACGAGTTTTTACAGAAGAGGAAACTACCAAAGATAGATTTCAACCACAAAAAATAAAATAAAATAAAAAAATAACCTAAATTATGGGGATATACAAGTTACAAATATGCTATTAGCTCTAGCGTGACTAAGGCCCTGTTCACTTCGCTGATTCGAGTTTAGAATTCGAGTTTTTCTACAGTAAAAAGCTCTCACAAACAATCACATCTAACTTTTTTGCTACAGTAAAAAGCTCTCACATAAAGTCACATCTCAACTCGAATTCTAATTCATTATCCAGCAGTAGTTTTGTTCAATTTCCACGCAACAAGTACTGTTGCATCTGGATTAGCACAAATATATAATAATAATAATAAACAAAAAAACACAAAAAAAGTAATGTCCTATGTGGGTTTAAGAAGAGGAGTAATTAAGGTCTCGTTCACTTCGAAAATTCGAGTTTTTAATTTGAGTTGAGATGTGACATTTTTTGAGAGCTTTTCACTGTAGCAGAAAAAGATAGATGTGACATTTTCTGAGAGCTTTTTACTGTAGAAACCTAAAATTGAAAACTCAAATCGGTAAAATAAACGAGGCATAAATTTACTTTCAAAATATTTGCTTTGTGTTTTGCCTCTTATATATAAGTTAGTTTTATTTAAAGAGTTTGATTAATAAAATTAAGATAAATTTCATAAATACTTCGAAACTATATACTCTACTTTAAAGTATCTCTTGATTTTTTTCTCGATTTATAAAAAACATATTAAATTACTCCTTTTGTTAACTTTTGTGTATGATTTCAACAGTTTGTTAATGTGACAGTCATTAAAAAGTTAATTAAAGAGACGTTTGGTTCATAGATTAGAATCATGTGATTAGCATTATTTTCGATTTACGTGTATTTTTTGTGAGCGGTGTGTGAGCATGTGAAGGGGCGGCTGCTTAACTCTAGGGGTTTTTTTTTTTTTTTTTTTTTTTCTTTTTTCTTTTTTCTCCTTCAAATAACTTTAAATGGGTGGTTCAGTTTAGATCTCTTTAGATCAATGGTTGAAATTAAATGGATCTTAATTTTTTTAAGGGATAAAATTATTTTGGTATCATATATTATAGTAAAACATACTCTTAATATCTTGTTTTTTTTTTTATAATATTAAAATGGTATCTTGACGTTTTTGAAAACATCTTCTGAGTATTTTAAAACTAATTTTTAAGATATGTAATGTCGAAACTACCATTTTTATGAATTAAATAGAAATCAATATTTTTTAAAAAACAACAAAATAAAAAAATTCATGATTTTTTTTCTAAATCTATTAATTTTTAATTAATTAAATAGAAATGTACTAAGGTCATTTTACATATAAAAAATCAGCTTCAGGATTTCAAAAAGATGTTTTTAAAAATGTAGATGTATCGCTTTAATTTTATACAAAAGAAAAGTATTAAGAGCATGTTTTACTATAGCACATAGTACTGAAATGATTTTATAATATTTTTCAATAATAAGCATATAAGGTCGAGCAGTGTCATAAATACGGGGCCTGGACCAAACCCATATAATTTGAAAAAAAAAAGGAGATAAATACTCCTCAAAACGCATGAGTTTAAAATTTTTACATTTTACACTTAATTAATGTTTATAATTAAAGAATTATATTTATCACCATGGGTTCAACCAATAATATTTATCCCAACTAGAGCTAGTTAACTCCTTATCATGACAAGAATTATGAAAAGATGTTATTTAAATAAATTGGATCTTCTTCATTGACTACTTATATTGGCTCTTCCGAAAATAATTTATTTTTAGCGGAAAGGGGGATCAAGTTAATTTCTGGTTGAATTTGTGCATGCATAATAGGTTTTAAGACTCGTCATAAATCAAGACAATGTATATCAATTATAAATCTGA